TCCCCCATGTCTAGCACACATGCTTTTTTTTAATATTACCAAAGAAGCTGTGTCCACACAGGGAAGAGTTAGGCAGTCAGTGCTGTAGAATGAGCTGACCTGGATAACGATGTAGACCCATTGTAACATCACCATCACTGTCCTTCCTTACCATTTCATTGTGCAATATAGCACAGCTTCCACCTGCAGCATCTGCATCTTTTTGTTGGAGAACTTTGTCAGAAAGTTGAGGTTCACTCTGCCCATAGGCTCAGCAGGTACAATTAGCAACCTCTGCCTCCACCACAGACTTCAACTAACAACTGGTAGTTACCCCAACTCCAATTCCCCTCAGGTAGCATGGCTCAAAGGCACATGTATTGCACCACTCCCAGTGTTTCTTAGTAGGAATAGGTTCCAGATGCCCACAGTGGCAACTTGCTTTCCTATCTCATTTCTCCTCTCCCCTACCACTGTTTCCTAGGATCATCTCCCAGTAAACTACTTGCATGGAATCCTAGCCTTATGGCCTGCTATTGGAGGAATCCAAACTAAGACATCCGATGTTACCTGCCTCCTCGTGTTTACTCATTTGTTGCTGTTTGACTATAGAGGTGATTCCCTGCACTTAGGGTAACCAATTCTAGTCCTGTTTAGGGGGTTCCCAGGACTTGGGATCTTCAGCACTAAAAGCAGAAAGTTCTGGACAAACTGGGATAAGAGATCACCCTACTTGCACCTTGCCTGCCTGCAATTAATATTTGTAGCCCATTTCTTTCTTATGGACTCCACTTTCATCATCAAAAGCTTCTGAACAGATAGGAGGCTGACAGCTGGAGGTTGCTCTGAATCAATCAAGGGCAGAAGAGTATTATTGGCAGGTGGGTTAATTAACTGGAAAAGAAGGAGAATTCTTTACCTATTGTATGCAACATGCTGAAGGAGGAGAATAAAAGGTCTGAGAGGCTGAGTGAACCATATGACTGATGGTCATTGCCTTAAGATAGGAACAAGTGGTTCTCATTTAACAGTTATTAGCATTTCCTAGCTGTGCCTAGCACAAGGACCTCACATTTTGCCAAAAGTCCTGCAGCGCTTCATGGGATGTGAAGAAAATTGTGATATTCATTAAACCAAGTGTCACTAAGTGCAATGTTCAACTCTTAAGCACATCAAGGTATGTTAAAGTCTCTTGTGGCATTTGCTAGCTGACTTTCTTCCTAATTACTGAAATGGGCTCTTAAGCATATCCTTTTTAATGGAAAAATATAAGCACAAACAATACTTTCATGATATATCAAGACTCTGTAACCAGAAGCATCAGTCCAAATTTGAATGTTGAGCTATGTCTGGAATGTCCCCATGCTTCTGCAAGGAGATTTGGGTTGTAATGATGTGTGAAAACATTTTGTAAACCACAAAGTATCATGTAAGTTGATTAACTTATAATTCATCCATCACACATCATGTGACAATTAAAACTGTAAAATTTTATATTAATGTGCTGGAGTCATTATGTGGATTATGAGCAGGGACTTTTTCTTGTTCATCACTCCATCACAGCCCTAGAAACATGCATGGCACAGACTAGGTAATCAACAAATATTTGCCTCATAAATACATAACTAAATAGATAAATAAGTGCTGCATTTTGAACCGATATCTGCACATCAGAGCCTAGCGGTTCTGACTTCCCATTAATAGTTCTCTGACAGGAATTCTTTCTCTGTTCTAGGTTTAAAGGAAAGAGTGTACTCTATCTCATCATAGTTCTTGATTATATATATGATAATCCATTACATTACAAACACTTTGAATTGTTTCTTCTTTCTTCCAAAGGTTAAGTCTATGTTGAATTACTACTTTTAGAATTTCTGTCTTTGCAAACACATTTTTTCTCAAGGGGAATGAATATGCTTCCTCCTTTTGATAAAAAAAATTATGCATTTTTTCATGTTTCCCTTTTTGCTTTGGCTCCCAGGGAACCCAGAAATAAATTTTATGTATATTCCATTTAAACTTAACTTCCTAGTGTTATTTCTTTGAATCTTAATTTTTTAAAAATTACTTTTGTTTTGAGACATTTTATATCTTTCCAGGAGACAGAATATGAATATACAGTTATCCCTTAGTATCAATGGAGGATTGATTCCAGGACCTACTGCTAGTATCAAACTCCACAGATGCTCAAGTCTCTCATGTATAATGGCATAGTATTTGCATACAACCTATGCGCATCCTCCTGTATACTTTAAATCATCTCTAAATTATTTGTAATGCCTAATACAGTGTAAATGTTATGTAAATAGTTGCTATACTGTATTGTTTAGGTAATGACAAGAAAAAATTCTATACATGTTCAGGACAGACATGACCAACCATCTTGTAAAAATGTTTTCAATCCATGATTAGCTGAATCCACACACGTGGAACCTCCAGATACAGCGGGTTAACTGTACATATATTTGGTGCCATAATTTTATAAATTTTAAAGTAAGCATCTAATGTATAAAGGCATTGGCCTAATACTGTGATATTAAGTATCATTCTTACTTCACTTTAAAAAGTAATCCCATGGTGTCTACAGAGCATAATTCTTTAAGACACATGAAATCAACCAAACTTGCATATTGCAACCAAACTGCAAAATAGTACTGTTGACTTACTCAGGCAATCGGAAAGTTGTTTGGAATATGTTATTCAGGGTCCAGACAACATCGGTATTGTTTCTGCCTAACTCCCCTAACTACCTAATAGTTTGGATTGTATTTTCTCCTTCTTTTTTCTTTCTTTCTCTTGCTTTTCTTTCTCTTTATTTCCTTCTTTCTTTTCTTTCTTTCTCTTTCTTTTCTTTTCTTTCTGTTTCTTTCTTTGTTTTCCTTCCTTCATCTCTTCCCCCCCCCCCCAGAGTCTCGCTCTATCATCCAGACTGGAGCGCAGTGATGCAATCTTGGCTCACTTCAGCCTCTGCCTCCTGGGTTCAAGCTATTCTCTTGCCTCAGCCTCCCAAGTAGCTGGGACTACAGGTGCGTGCCACTACACCCAGCTAATTTTTGTTTGTATTTTTAGTAGAGACGGGTTTCACCATGTTGGCCAGGCTGGTGTTGAACTCCTAACCTCAAGTGATCTGCCCGCCTCAGCCTCCCAAAGTGCTGGGATTATAGGTGTGAGCCATCTCCTGTGACTGGATTGTGTTTTCTCTACTGGTTTAGGGGCTAGAGCTCAAAGCCCCACATGGCCAAGAGAGCAGCCAGATCTGCAGTGCACTATTGTTTATAATCAATAGTTGGGCCTCTTGAATAATCATTTCAATATTGACAGTGGAGCAATGTGATTAAGAACATAGGGTTTGGCTTTTGAACAATCCAGACTCTGCTACTTATAGAGTATCCCTGGCCAAATCACTTCAGTGTTGTTCACAGTGCAAGCCTTCACAGAAGGGTGTTGTCACCCCCTCTCAGCCTTTCCTGGACAAAAACATCTAACATTACAGATCATTTTCTCCAGAAATGTTTCCCAGTCCCTCTAAACTGGGTGTGCTGTTCCTGGTCTGTGCTCCCCTATCTTTTGTGCTTCTCATACCGAGTTAATTGTCTTTGCTTGCCTCTCTACTACTGGACTGCAAGCCTTGGAAGCACAGGGACTCATTCACGATTGTCTCTCCAACAGGTGGTACAGTACCTGGCACATGGTAGGTCCCTGATAAATCCCAGACAAATGAATAGATGAATGAGTGAATGAGGGATCTTAGAAGTCTTCTGATGTAGTCTATTTTTCAGAAGTATCTTAAGTTTGGCTTACAGGAAGGAGGGTCATTACCAGCAGGTCCCTAACCCATGACTATTTCAACATTTCAAATTCCTACCCAAGTACAAGTGGGCTCTCCAGTAACTGAATCAGCATAATTCATGTGCAAGAAATGGGATCCATAAGCCAGGCCATGACCTTGGCCTTTCTCTTAAGTGTTGGCTTCTCCAAGGCCAAGTCCCCAAATTGGTCAAACTTGCTCTGGTAATATGATCCCAGTGATTGTCACAAATATATGAGCACCAGAGTTGGAACCACCTCTATATCTGTCCTTCCTTCAGTAAGAAAAGAGAAGAGAATCGTCCACACAATTCTCAGAAATGCCAACCAAAAGGGTACAGCTGCCAGTTCTCATCAGTCAGGGCTGGGAACCCCAGGGCCTGGCCATGGGTTTGTGGGGCAGGTTAACCTGCCTGCCCTTGGGATTTCTCTTCCTGGATAGAGTCCATGACCATCCTCTTGATCATTCAACCACATCCCTCAACCCCACCTCAGCGCTGGGGCGGGTTGGAGTCTCCCAGCACTTCGCTGAGGAGCTCTGTGACCCTCACTGGATGTGGCTCTGAGCTCCAGCCACAACCACCACCCCAGCTGCAGGCCCACAGGTGACCAGATGACCAGAAAGCATGTGTGGTGCCAAGCAGGTGTCTGCCCTCCCCAGCAGCTAGAGGATAGGGAGGTGAAAGGTTCTAGCAAGTTGATCAGACACAATGTTCCAACAGGCTTATAACGGATGAAACAGGATCGGGGGAGGCTGTGGGACCTTTGCTCAGACCAGAAGCTCCTGAAGAGCCACAGGGGTGGGCTCAGATATGGAAAAAAGAGCAGATTTGGGTCTATTTAAAACATATGGGCCTGTCTGAGGGTGTGGCGGTGGGGAAGGGGGCGGCCCATACTACCATACTTGAATGTACAGACCTGCCCAAGACGGCCGAATCTGAAACTTTACTATTAAGATCAATCACTTTTTACCATGGGTAACCAGGGGTAAAGAATGGTCTAAAATACTGTCTTTTATCCACCTTCCTCCTGGGGAGTAGAGTGGGCATTTCCTCTCCTCTGAGGAAACAGTTGCAGGGGAGATCCCAAGTTAACAAGTATTTCCTCCCAGCAAGTCCAGCTGTGGCTCTTGCTCCAAGGGGCTGTTGCAGAGTGGAGCAGAGTAGAATTGGAGTGGGGGCAAGCAAACCCTTAGTCATAGCTACGATGCCAGGCCCTTGGAGAAACTTTTTTATTTGAAGTATGTAACCACCTAGTACATGGGTAAAGAACTAACATTCAAAGAAAACAAATGAATTGCCAAATGAAGTTGATGGATGGTAAAACTCGGATTTGAGCTTGAGCCCATTTGACTCTGCCTTTTCAGAAGATGGAACTGACCCCAAGGTCATGCTCATATCCTCAACCCAGTGGCAGCCAGCAGAAGTTCAGCACGTACTCTGGAAGCCCTAGCCCTCAGTCTCATGCACTTGGCACTATAGTCTATGCTGCTTCCTCTTAGAAAAAAAAAAAAAAAAGCCACAGAGGCACAGGTATATCTGATGGAAAAAAAAAAAAAAAAAAGATTAATTAAGGAATGGCTTCTACATTATGAAAAGGTTCACTACAGGGTTCCTTTAAATAACCAGCTCCCCTAGTGCTTTTATTATGTAGGTCGCTTTACAAAAAAAAAAAAAGTAAATTTACAAAAAAACTTTTCAAGATGATATTTGCTACATAAAGCAAAGCACACATTAACATGACTCTGAACCATTATCTGGGCTACAGAAACAGGTTGCAAGGCTGGTCAGCTGGGCAGAACCTCCATGGGACCAGGGAGCACAGGTCACCTACATAGCCAGCGCTGGCCACCAAGGATTTCAAAGAGCAGGATAAGAACAGGAGACCCAGGCTAACAGGAAGTCGGTGATAGGAATGCTACAAAGAAGGGGACTCCTGGCAAGTTACTTTTTCAGGGCTGTGGTTTTCTTTCCTGTCAAGAGGGAGGTGCAGGCCTCTCTCTCTTTCCCAAGTCAGTGGGCACACGTTTCCCTGGCCCTATTACCTGACTCCCTGAGCCAGCACCCTAGGAAGGGAACTGACTCACACTGGCCTAAACTCTTTCATTCTGCAAAATGCAACTGCCTTCTTCTCAGGCTTTTTCTCACTGATCCTTTTCATCAGCTTTTCCTGGAAGAGGTCACCTGCCTGGTCCTGGGTGACTGACACCCGGAATGAACTAAGAGTCAATCCTCTATAACCCCTGGATTCATATAGCTACATTATTGCATCATATAGATGGTATTATATGTATTATAATTGTGATTTTAGCTAATAATTTTAACATTTAATAATTTAATGGTATAACATTATAATTATACATCCGTGTATTTGTCTCCCAGCCTAGGCTATGCTTCTTCAGTGCAGGGATGACAATATCTCATTCACCTCTGTGCCTCCATTGGCTAGCTCAATGCCTGACAATAAATGGGGGTTGAACTGTTCTGCTTTCATAGAAAAGAACAAGAATATAATTTTTCAAGATTGAGTAATTAACTGTTGAGGCCTAAACTAATGTGTAACATCAAAAGTACATTTTTAACACGACAGTAAGATTCTCTAATTGTTATATTTCAAATCCGATCTGCCCCACTCCCTCAAAATACCTTAGTCAAATTATTTCATAATTGAAATAATTAAAACTTTCCTATTTTCTTTATATAATGTTATGCTGTTAAAGAAGGCATGTCAAAATCCCACATCACCTTTGATAGAATTCCAGAAGATAACCCTTTGTGATTCCAACCCACATTCCCTTCCATCTTCAATTAAAGAAAGAAAGAAAAAAAAAAAACTGAGGTGAAAAGTTAAATTAGAATAATATTGCTGTGTATACAGTTTTTTTCCCCGTTTCCAATGTTTTTCTCCTCAACGCGTGCAATTGGTAATTAAATATATTTCTGCTGGTCTTGTGGCCATATGCCTACAATATGTAAAAATACATTTGCGCTTTTTTCCCTCCATTCCTTTTGTTCCCAGTGCTGACTGCTGTCAGAGTGAGCCGTCCAGATTCCCGTGTGCTGGTATCCATGGGCTCTGTCTTGCCAAGCTGCCAGTCTGGAGCGTCACACCTTACTGCCTTTAAAGATTGCCCTGCAGAGATAGAGGGAAATGGCAATTTTTACATGATGCAGTCTGGCGACCCAAGAGATTTGAAGTCAGAACTGGTGCCAAGATTTACCCAGGAGAGCAAGCAGAGGCAAAAACAGAGAACCTGGGCCAAAAGGAAAAAAATAAAAAGAAGAAAGAAGGGAAAGACTGGGGGATGGGAAACCACAGTCAACTCTCTCCGGGGGTTCTCTCAAAAGGCCTGGACCAAAGGCCACAGAGAGGGTGAAGGCCATGTTTTTAGGAGTATATGGCTCCTAAAGAAAGTCAAAGGGAAGAGGTCGGCTTTTTTTGCATGCCCTAAATTGTAGTAGATTGCAGAATGTAAATGAGACAATTATTACACCAACGCTCATCAAGCTGGGCTGGAAAGACTTCAATAGCCTGATGAATATGCATGCAAATTTGTTAATTAAGTTAATTATTCTGCTGAAAATTCATTTGTCTTCCAAGGACATTTTCCCAATGATTTTAACATGCTAGCGCCATTAGTCATGCTCCATGCTATTTAACATTACTTTTTGTCCACTTTCTTTCCCCCCAACCATATTTTTAAAAATATTTTAAAGTTTTAAAAAACAGTTGATGGGTTCTTTTAATTGACCCCTGCAATGTTGGAGGACGCCTAGAGCCAGCTCGGTAGGCATTCTCAGAAGCACGTTTCAATTAAATATTTCCTTGATATATAAAATGTTTGCAAAATGTCACATTGGTGGGGAGGAGAAGAGCTCTATCTGGGATCATTAAAGCTAGGATTTGAATTGTTCTCCATAGTGACTGTAAGAGGTAATCTGTCCCTGCTGTGGGCGATTTCCCAAGTTCTGAGTGTTATTTGATGCACGGATTTACCTTGCTGTGGGAAGTGTGGTGATTCCAAGCCTCCTCTCTTATTGGGCTGCAAGGCGAAACCCAGCGAACGTGTGTGTTCAAAGAGGAACCAGAACTCTGGTACTTTTCTGTCACCCATGAGGGCCCAAACCTGTTACCATGGCAACGGAGGGGAATAGTGTGTTTAAAATCACATCTAAATGGCAAATTGATATATTTGAAAGAAACAGTCGAGTTTAATTTTGATAGCCAAGAGTAGCCAACAAATAGTACGATGGTATTTTTTTTTAAACCGCATGTTATTTTGCTGGGTAAAGCAGGTTTATTATAACAGGCCTTCATCATGGCCTCGAAATTGGAATCTTTAGAGGTCTGGATGAGTTGTATTCAACCAGATTCTTGATCTTAAGGTACACAGACACACATGAAGCAGCCTATTTAAACCTCCCAACATTCTACGTAGGGAGATTATAGCATCACATCCCAACTCAGAAATCGGAACATGCGGTCTGACAAATCTAAGTGTTCTTAGTGGGACAGTAAGGTAGACATTTAAATCAAGACTATTCCAGGAAATCAGAGAAATATGGCTGCCTGCACACATAAGGCAATCATCATTAGAAGGAGAAAGATTAATCTGCACATCACTTGAGGGGACAGCCATATGCACACTTAAAGCTTGTCTTAAGATTATTTATTTTCTTTAGATTGAAGGTAAATTCAGATTCTCCCTATCCCTCAGTCACAAAAGAAACTCTCCAATATGATCTCAGCTTACAACCTGTATCTTCACAGTCAGGGTTGATCAGACTTGCTGCGAGCCAAGCTAATGAAAAGGGAGGAAAATAACGAAGAAAACAAAATTTAATTGAAAGAGTTAAAAAGAAATTAATTGGTATGCCATCTCCTTTGAGCCATTCGTATCTATTTTATACAGTATGAATGGCGCTACGTGTCACATAGATCGTAAACCAATTAAGATGATATTTTAAACCCTGTAATTTCTATAATTCCATCTGTTTTAGAAGGTTTAATTAGCAAAGTTACAAAAGCCAAATATATTTGAATATTTTGAAAGCAGGCCGAATGGCAAAAAAATGAAAAGTTCCCATAAACATTTAACTACACAACCATGTACATTTCATGAAAATATACTTTAGATGTACTTTAAAATTATACATGTGGGTTTGTCTGAATTTTACCAACAATAAACCGGATCCAAGGGAAATTATGATCGCATGTTGTTAGGCTGTGTAAATTAATTCAGTTTTGTTGTTGTTTTTCATCATACTTACAGAGATTTCTTCTGATGAAACCCCCTCACCTGTCATTTCATTGTGGGCCCAAAGTAGTAAGAGCTGCATAAAACTAAACACTTACTGAATTCTCTCCTTTAAATGTTCTTTCCATAGGCTTAAAAGAGAGGTTCGCCATTTTGCAAGGAAAAGGAAATATTTTTCAGATATATCCAAAACATTTTTCAATCTACCAGTAACCTATTTTTGAGAAATAAGAGCACATGGAAGTGTGTTAGCTTCAAAATGTGAACACAAAATCTAAAGGTACAAATTTTATAATTTAGCCCCTTTCTTCACTATTGAAGGAAAATATTATTTTGAATTTTTTAAATTAGTCCAAACATGAGATCCTGCCACATCCTTTGGTTTGGTGCTGTGCTGAGCAGCTGTGCACTATCCAGGGCCTCATATGGCCCAGTCACCAATGACTGACAGGACGATAGTGACAATGTGACGCCCAATATTCTCTCTTCTCAAAATGCCTGCCGCACCGCGATTGTGACGCAGTGGGTGTCCAGTTCTGTCTTTCCTTCATACTGGATTTCTGACACATAACAAAGTGTAATTAATTTTTTATATGCTTGTCTTTTTCATTACCAGAAATACAGTGAGCATAATTTATTATCAATTCTATTCATATTCTGTACTACTTGGATAAACTACTTTTGTTTCCATTTGCATTAAATACTGTCAAGTGATTAAAAAAATGGCTAATAAAGGAAAAGGGGAGTCGAACCTATGTTCAGCATATATATCACTCTAGAAAACTAAGGGATCTACTATACTGGCATGTGTTTTATGTGCATCATCTCTTCTAACCCTTGCATCAACCATCCAAGAAAGGTCTAATTATTTCATTTGACAAGTGAAGAAAGCAAAACTCAAAAAGATTACGACCCTTGCTTAAGTAATGACAAGAAAGAAAAAAAAAATTCCAATAAGCAAGCAGCAGGAGCAAGCTTGAGAGCCAGAAAACACATCTAGATTATTTATTTTACTCCAAAACTTTTAAGTATTTTAATGTACCTGGCTACTACTACCACTTTTTAAAAACTCACCTTGGAAGGCCATGATACAGCCAACACTTCATATTTTTAGTACATGTCAGCATCTACATTACTTACAAAACACTGCCTCAATTTCCCATCTTTTATTTCAGTTTATTACATTGGATTAACTTTTACTCTCTTATGGACTTCCTATCTTTGAAAAGGACTATCCTTTCTACTTTGGAGCAATTTAAATAAAAAAAAAAAAAAGACAGTGAATTATCCCAAGAAGAAGTTTAAATGGATTTTGTTTGCAAATAGTTCAGCAGTTGCAGGGGGCATCTGCTCGTTTGCCTCACCTGCCCTTCTCATTCTTTCCATCTCCACGTCCTCCCCACCTGCCATGGGCTGTCACCAGAAGCAGTGGTACTGGGAGTCCTGAAGAGAGGAACTGAGGAAAGAGGTGCTTTATTCTTCTAAATGATGAGAAATAAGGGTCCATGGAACTTCTGGGGCCATCTTTGCTGCTGTGATATATGATCTGTCCTGATAAAACCAACATGGCAGGAACATGTTTTGTAACATAGAGAGAAAGACAGACAAAGAGAGAAACAGGATCAGAAACTTGATGTCAGCACAAGTGGTCTGAAACTTCTTGGTGACAGGAGCCTAAAAGTCTCCCCCTCCACCCCCAACCCCGCTCCCCACTTAAGGTACTTACAATTGGCTAATTATCCTAACTAATATAGGCATCATGCAAAAATCAGAAGAAATATTACACACTAATTTATATTTCTTAATTCTACAGTATTTTTAATTCAAATTTCCTAGAGGCAAAAGTGGATCAATACCTCAAAAGATCCATATGCATTGATTTTTAAAATGTTACTCCACTAACCCATCTTTAATTATGTCATTTGTAATCATTTATCTCTATTTTCCAAACATTTCAATAATTATTATGAATCACCCATCCACTATGAAAATGTACCAATTTGTAATTACATGCCAGAGTCAAGTTCTTATACAAAACAGACTGGCCACAAGACAATATTGAGCCTTTAAAAGTCCATACCTCAACATGTAACACTTTGAGTATGTCATTTGTAAATAATCTTGGTGAACTACGAGCTAAATAATTCTGACCGAAGAATCCACTTTGCACCTTGAACTTCTTAATTTGCCTAGATAGAATTTGCCAATGAATTTAACAAAAATTGATGTTATGCTCATCTTTCTAAAGTTCTAAACAGGATCCAAAACTTTATTACACACTTAGGAGTTAATGTTCCTCTATTTTGTCAGAAATATTTGAACCATATTTTATAATACTTAAAGAATCCAACAATATATCATCAGAGAACTGGATTAGCAAGCAGTAGAAACAGTATAGGGTCTTAGAGACTGAAGTCAGATTACAGATTACACAGGTTCAAATTCCAAACCTATGCTCTATCACTTACTAGCATTTGGTGTGACTTTACTTCAGCTCTCTGTACCTCAGTTTTGTCATGTCCCAACTTGGGATAATAATAGTTTCCACCTCATAAAGTTGCTGTGATTACAAAATCAGTTAATAATTGTAAAGTGTTTGAAACAGTGCCTGGCACATAAGCAGTGGAATAGGCATACTAATGGAATAGACTACTTTGTGGCATTCCTTCTACCTCATAGCAAGACTAAGCAAAAAGAACAAATCTGGAGGCATCTCACTACCTGATTTCAAACTATACTATAAGGCCATAGTCACCAAAACAGCATGATACTGCTATAAAAATAGGCACATAGACCAATGGAACAGAACAGAGAACCCAGAAATAAACCCAAATACTTACAGCCAACTGAACTTTGACAAAGCAAACAAAATCATAAAATGGGGAAAAGAGACATTCTTTCAACAAATGGTGCTGGGATAATTGGCTAACTACATGTAGGAGAATGAAACTGGATCCTTATCTCTTATCTTACACAAAAATCAACTCAAGATGGAGTAAGGACTTAAATCTAAGGCTTGAATAAAAATTCTAGAAGATAACATTGGAAAAATTCTTCTAGACATTGGCTTAGGTAAGGATTTCATGACCAAGAACCCAAAAGCAAATGCAATAAAAACAAAGATAAATAGTTGGGACTTAATTAAACTAAAGAACTTTTCCACAGCAAAAGGAACAGTCAGCAGAGTAAACAGACAACCCACAGAGTGGTAGAAAATCTTCACAATCTATACATCTGACAAAGGACTAATATCCAGAATCTACAACAAACTCAAACAAATCAGTAAGAAAAAACAAACCCATCAAAAAGTGGACTAAGGACATGAAAAGACAATTCTCAAAAGAAGATATACAAATGGCCAACAAATATATGAAAAAATGCTCAACATCACTAATGATTAGGGAAATGCAAATCAAAACCACAATGCAATGCCACCTTACTCCTGCAAGAATGGCCATAATCAAAAAATCAAAAATCAGTAGATGTTGGCACGGATGTGGTGATCAGAGAATACTTCTATACTGCTGGTGGAATGTAAACTAGTACAACTACTATGGAAAACAGCGTGGAGATTCATTTAAAAAACCAAAAGTAGAACTATCATTCGATCTAGCAATCCCACTATGGGATATCCACCCAGAGGAACAGAAGTCATTATATGAAAAAGATACTTGCACATGCATGTTTATAACAGCACAATTCGCAATTGCAAAATTATGGAACCAACCCAAATGCCCATCAATCAATGAGTGATTAAAGAAACTGTGAGATATACATATATTATATATAATATATATATGATGGAATACCACTCAGCCATAAAAAGGAATGAATTAACAGCATTTGCAGTGACCTGGATGAGATTGGAGACTATTATTCTAAGTGAAGTAACTCAGGAATGGAAAACCAAGTATCGTATGTTCTCACTGACATGTGGGAGCTAAGCTATGAGAACGCAAAGGCATAAGAATGATACAATGGACTTCGGGGACTTGGGGGGAAGAGTTGGGGGGGCGAGGGATAATAAAAGACTACAAATAGGTGCAGGGTATACTGCTTGGGTGATGGGTGCACCAAAACTTCACAAATCACACTAAAGAACTTACTCACATAACCAAATACCACCTGTACCCCAATAATCTATGGAAAAATTAAAAAAAGAATATTCAGCAGTTAGCTAGCTAGTGCAATCAATGCTAACAGTATACAAAACCCTGGCTAACATTCCTCATATTTCTCAGTAGGTATGTATTTGCAAGAATTATTGAAATAACTGGCTCTGATGCAAATCTGTTTGAATGTAGTTATTTTTCACATGCCAGGTCTACTTTTTAAAAAGTTCTAATCTATTTTCTTATTATCTTAAAAACATATTGTGGAAGATGGCTGACTAGAAGCATTTCATACTTACCTCCTTGAAGAAGAAGAACTGAAATAGTAAGTGGATAATCACATTTCAAATAGATCATGCAAGAGAGAATACTGGAATTCAACAACAACAACAACAACAACAACAACAAACCAGAAATACCTAAAGCAAGGAAGGAGAAGGAAGCAGGCAGCCTGCTCAGCTGGGGTAAGCTGGGAGCTGAGAAAGACTCCCCAGTCTGGGAAAAGGAAAAGTGAAAGATCCTCAGCAGTTCACATCCCCACCATGTGCTCCTGCAGTTCTAGCCATGGGAGATCCTCTCAACACTCATGGGGCCTGAAGCTAACACAGAGAGGAGCTGGGAGGTTCCCAACCCACCAGCGTAGGCTGCTGGCCACTGAAGGCAGTACCACCCTTCCCAGTGGCAGGGGCAGTGGCACAGCTGTTGTTGCCCCACAACCCAAGCATTCTGCTTGACTGTGAGTGCAGATGCTAGCCATGGCCCTGTCCCTGCCAACCAAGGCTGGCACCTGCACTCTCCATCAGGAGGCCTGAGGACAAATGCACCCAGCCAGGCTTTGCCCTCACTCCATGCCAAAGCACAGAGTCTGGCCACAGAGTCTACCTCTGTTGGTATCTCAACACTCTTGAGTATTGGGCCTAGCACCATCAGGCTAGCACACTCTGCCCAGCCCAGTCTACCTCTGTTGGTACCTGAAGATTCCTGAGATTGGGCCTAGCACCAAGGTGCTATCACCACAGCTGGCACCTACCTGTACTTGCCATCTGTGGGCCTGGTGACTGATGTACCCAGCCCGTTACAGCCACGTCCAACAGCAGCATGCATTACTCAGGACCCAGAGGGCTGTCCCACCACTACTGCTGATATCACCCATCCCACACCTGCTGTCTAGGGGCCCAAGAACAGACCCACTGCTGGAACTGCCAGCATCTGAGTAAGCCACTTATAGGTCAAAGAATTAATCTTCCTAGACCCAGTAACATATGGGCATATGCTGCCCTGGGTCCCAAGGACAGACATGCTCAGCCCACTGCTGCCACCAATGGGGCCAGAAGACTGACCTACCTGGCATCTAAGTCCCCAGCAAAACTTCACCACAGCTTTCACTAATAACACTATTTTAAGCCATCAAAGAAATCACAGATACCACCTGTGCTGTTCACAGCTGAAGAAATCATACAGAGACTACACTGCCACACAAAACCAGATTAAGAGCAAAAATGTCCTACCCAACTGTATTAGTTTGTTTTCATGCTGCTGATAAAGACATATCTGAAACTGGGAAGAAAAAGAGGTTTAATTGGACTTACAGTTCCACATGGCTGAGGAGACCACGGAATCATGGCGGGAGGCAAAAGGCACTTCTTACATGGCAGCAACAAGAGAAAAATGAGGAAGCAAAAGCAGAAACCCCTGATAAACCCATCAGATCTCATGAGACTTATTCACTATCATGAGAATAGCACAGGAAAAACCAGCCCCCATGATTTAATTACCTCCGCCTGGGTCCCTCCCACAACACGTGGGAATTCTGGGGGATAAAATTCAAGTTGAGACTTGGGTGGGGACATGGCCAAACCATATAATTCATCCCCTGGCCCCTCCAAATCTCATGTCCTCACATTTCAAAACTGATAATGCCTTTCCAACAGTCCCCCAAAGTCTTAACTCATTTCAGCATTAATTCAAATTCCACAGTCCATCTGAGACAAAGCAAGTCCCTTCTGCCTATGAGCCTGTAAAATCAAAAGCAAACGAGGTACTTCCTAGATACAGTGGGGATACAGGTATTTGGTAAATACAGCCATTCCAAATGGGAGAAATTGGCCAAAACAAAGGGGTTACAGGGCCCATGCAAGTCCAAAATTCAGCAGGGCAGTCAAATTTTAAAGCTCCAAAATGTTCTCCTTTGACTCCAGGTCTCACATCCAGGTCACACTGATGCAAGAGGTGGGTTCCCATGGTCTTGGGCAGCTCTGCTCCTGTGGCTTTGCAGGGTACATCCTTCTTCCTGGCTGCTTTCATGGGCTGGTGTTGAGTGTCTGCAGCTTTTCCAGGATCACAGTGCAAGCTGTTGGTGGATCTACCATTCTGGGGTCTGGAAGATGGTGGCCCTCTTCTCATAGCTCCACTAGGCAGTGCCCCAGTAGGGACTCTGTG